CACACGCACGCACGCACGCACGCACGCACATGTGTCTACTCACACGCCATGTCCACTCACAGACCCGCACACACGCGCGCACGCGCACAACAGCGACCCACCGACGTGGGTCACCACCCCCTGCAGCGACACGCTGCGCAGCGCCTGGGCGATGCTCTGCCGCTGCTTGGGGGCGTCTGCCCAGCCGAGGGCCAGCTCGCCGCAGCCCTGGGCCACAATTTCCTTGGCCGTCATGCCTCCGGGGCCGGCATGGCACAGGACACTGCAAGACAGGGCCCCGGGGTGTGCAGGGGTGGGCAGGCGAGGCTGCGACGTCGATGAACACGGATCAACGCGGCAGGCAGGCCGGGGCCGGCCGCTGCCGCCACCTCTGGGCCCGTCCCACCTGACGGTGTGCGTCGACCGCGCGCGCTCAACCCTGCGCAAGGCACCCAACCGCCTCGAAGCCCGCTCCCAGCGAGCTTGTCCACCAACACCCCGGCAGCTGCCTGCCAAGGGCTAGCAGCAGGCCTGTTGGCACGGCCCAGGAGTCCCCCATGCAACGGCCGGCCTTCACCCTGCCAGCTCAGCGGCGCCCTCACCGGAAGACTTGCTGCGCGATGGTCCCCGCCCGTATCGTGCCCCACCATTTGAGAGCCTCCGCCTCGTCGACGCCCGCGAGCCGCGCCGCCGCGATGCAGCCGGCCATGCGCGGCGACATGGGTTCTGCGCGGGAGCGGGAGCGAATGCGTCGCGCGCTTGAGATGCGGGGGGGCGGAGAGGCGGGTCCCGCGCCACTGCTGGCCGCCTTTGACGAGCACGCGCGGCGGGGCAGGGTGGGGTGCTGCCGCCCTGGGGTGCTGGAGGCACCCTCAACAGTGTGTGAGCCGCCCCACCGTGGGCTCCTGATGAGCCGGCCAGCTTCCTGCCGGCTCCCTGCGTCGCCGCTTGCGCGCCGCCGGCCGTTGGCGATGTGGGCGCGTCGTCATCTGCTGCGGGCGCCGCCGCCGCCTCTTGCTGCCGCTTTTGCGGTTGCGGCTGCTGCTGCTGCTGCTGCTGCTGCTGCTGCTGCTGCTGCTGCTGTGCCGGCAGCGGCGGTGGTGGGTGCGGTGGCACTTGGGTGCTGGCCGCTCCTGCAGACCCCATCCGCGCCAGCGGCCCCTGCGCGGCCCCCGCCTCCGCTGCCCCCTCCTCGCCGCCGCCCGAGGCCGCCGCAGCGGCGGCAGCCGCGGCCCTTTTCTCCGCCGCCGCCTTTTTCTGCCGCTTCTTGGCTTTAGCGCACACCGCCGCAACCTCGTCCGCCGTGATGACCTGGGTTTGAAGGAACCAAGGCATACTCAGGTGTCCTCCAGCCTGCCGCATTTCAAGCGCGTGTCTCCTCCCCACATATCGAATTTGCAGGTAGAATATCTGATAACACCGGCGTGCGTCATAAGCCTTCATGAGCGATAACCGGGACAATCTGATCAACACGCCGCCGACGGCGCGCTGCACCCCGCCTCGTTGGAGCCCCCCCCCCAAAAAACATACACACGCACAAACGCACGCACACGCACACACGCAACAACAACAAACGCACTCACCTGTGTCCCCAGGGCTCCCACTATGTCATCCTGGAGCGCCTTCAGGGCGGCCGCCGCCGCGTCGCCGCCGCCCGGGTGCGTCGCCGCCGTCTCGTCCCACACCTGGGGGCGGGTCGGATGGGCGGGTGGGCACTGCGTGTGTGTGGATGTGTGTGTGGGGGGGTGGGAGCTTCGTTGGGTTGCTGCGCTGGCGGTGGCCAGGCAGCTGGGTTGATTGGGGGGCCGACCGGGTCGGCGGCTTCACGACAAGGGCAGCAAAGCTGGGCAATGTGAGCGCGGGCTGCACTTGGTGACCCTCGTGTGACGCACCACCCACACCTTCTCAACCACGCCGCCGTCAGGACACCCAGCGCCGCACCGAGCTGCAACGGGCCGTGCCCGGGCCCCTTGGGCGCGGCGCCCTTGCATGGTGGGACCGGGACGCGGGGCCGCTCTATGCATGCTGCCCAGACCGCGCATTGCAGGTCCCTGATGTCACGAAAGGCTTAGTGCTTGCTTGTGCCCCACAGACTGAAAAAATGCACCCAGGCCGTTCCACCCCACCCCCGCCCACCTGCACCAAAGCGTCCTGCGCCGCCTCTGGCCATGACACCTCAAAGTCGTCATCGCCCGCGCCCGGCCCCAGCGATGACGCCATCTCCGCCACTTTAGTCATCAGGGCGGACCGCGCTGTCGCCAGGTCCTGCAGCTGCTTGCCAGCCTCCACCGTTACCTTGCGCCTGCGCATGCAAAAGGAAACAGTGGCGTGCGCGTGTGAATAGAGGAGAGTCGAAAAGGATTGCAAAGTGGCGGCTATGGGTCAGCCGCAGGCGCTTCGGAAGCGGCAATGGCGCTGCTTCGCGACACGGCGCATGCCCGCCGTGCCCCGGCGCTCGGAACGAATGCATGTGCAGGTGAAGAGCTGCGGCGTCCCCAATGGCGGCCCCATTGGGGGACCCGCGCCTGAGGGTGGCCTCTCGCCAGAAGGGCGCGATCAGAGGGGCCGCGGCGGCCGCGGTCTCCTCTGGGAGGGAGGGCCGCCCCTGGGAGGCCGCGAGCCGGTGCGCCTGCACGGGAAGCCAGGTGTGTATGTGTGTGTGTGTGTGTGTGTGTGTGTCCACGCGCGCCGAGCAGAGTGTGCGTGTGTTTAGGGGAGCTGCATGGGCGCGCTCCGCGTGCTCGCTGCGTTGCAGCCTCCCGACCAACTGCGGCGCAGGCGCGGCCGCGTTGCAGGGCCGTCCCGCCGTCTCCCTGTCTTCCACAAGAGTGGTGCGCCCACCAAGAACGCGGCCGCGAACAGCGCGTTGTGCAGAGGCTTGGCCAGCGGCCGGCCCTTGGGCTTCAGATCCGCCGAGACCGTCACCTGGGGGGGGGTGTTGGATCAGAGGCTCGGGCGGCAGGTGGAGAGGCGCGTGGGATCTCGAGGCGCCGGCGAGCCAGCGGCGGGCGGCTGCTGAGGGGTGTGTGGCCTGGAGTCGTTCTGCAAGGCGCGCAGCAGCCGCCGGGATCCCGATTGCAGTCGACGGGTCGCGCGTGAATGCGGACGCGATTCGCTTGCTTGCGGGTGTGCGTGCGCGCACATCAGTGAGGACACCCGCCATCACAAGCACATGCACACGTGCATGCGCCCTCGCTCTGTCCATCCACACGAATGCGGGCTCCTGGGCGCAGCGCCGCGCGCGGCAGGGGCATGGGTGCGTCCGCTCACCCCAGTCACTGCGTCGCGCAGCGCCTGCAGCGCCGCGCGCAGCTCCTGAGGCAGGCCGTCCACCCCCTGCAGCGGCGGCGGCCGAAACGCGACGTCCGGCCCCGGCCCAGCCCCCGCCCCTGCCGCCCCCGCCGCGGCCGCGACCGCGGCTGCGCCAGGCTCTGCGCTCGTCGCCGCCGACGGCGGCGCGCCGCTCAGCGGCGCGGCCGCCGCCGCCGCCACCGCGCGCTCGGGCGGCGCTGGCTTGGGCCGCTGCAGGGCCGGCACGGCCGCCGGCGACGGCGCGGGGACGGGGGCTGCAGAGGCAGCTGCTGGTGTCGCCGCGGCGCCGGCGCCGGCGTCGGCCTTGGCGCCTGGGGACGGCGGCGGGGCCGCGGTGCGCTTGGCAGCTGCTTGTTTGGCTGTGCGGGAGGGCGGTTGGCAGAATCCTGATTCAATCAGATGCAGTGAGGCAGGCTAGATGGCAAACGATTGCTAAGCAGTACACCCAAGCACACGCCTGCCGACCATGAAGTTGGTCAAAATCGCTACTAGAGCTGAATGCTCAAGACCTCACAGGTGGCAGGCAGATCACCATACCAGTATGCAGATCATTAGGTCAGCAGGCAGATCAAGCTGTCAGCCTGCAGATCACGATGGCAGCATTCAGATCACATGATCAGCAAGAGAGCATTGCCGCGCCTCACCCAGCATCATGGCTTGCATCGCGACAGAGCCCGCCCCCCCGCCCGCCACCGCAGGCGCCCCCTGCGGCCCCTGCGCCTGCTTTTGCAAGGGCGGCTTCTGCGACGGCGGCGGCTGCGCCTGCGGCTGCGGGGGCCGGGTCGCGCGGAGCAGCACCGCATATCAGATTGTGGAGGGCGGGTGGCAGCCAAAATTTGGCAGAGGGCTGCGGTCCTTGCGTTCTCGGCGGCAGAGAGGTGGCGCGGGGCAGAGAAGGGGGAGGGCAAAGGGAGGCAGCAGGGGGCGAAAGGGGCAGCAGTCTGCAACATGGCGATTGGGAAGATCCAGGGGGGCGTGCACGCGCTGCGCTGCTGCTGCTGCCGCCGCCGCTGCATGGGGGTGGCGCGTGGGAAAATGCCACCTGAACCCCGGGACCCACCTGCTGGGCAGCTGCCTGCTGCTGCCCCTGCTGCTGCCCCTGCTGCGGCGCCCTGGCGTCACCCTTGGCGCCCACCTCCGCCAGTTTCCGCTTCTTCTTCTTGGGGGCAGCGCCATCCCCTGCGCCTGCGCCCGCTTCTGCGGCGGCGACGGCGCCGCCCCCGCCGCCGACA